TCAAAAACAACATGTATTCATGCAAGCCTGCTTTTGTGTCTAATCCTCGGTGTCTTGCAGTCGCAGTATCCTCCGTACTCATGGATGTCCCATGCGTAATCTATTCATGGATGGAGAGATAAGGGCAGTTTCTGTAGTGACGAAACACTCGAAGGTAGAAATCTGGTTTGGTTTCGTATTGCTGAAGAAGAAGGACAGGAGGATTATTCAATGGTCTACTAATTCCCCTTGATTTTTCAAATGCATCTTATAGTCGTCTCTGGACACTTCTTTCAGTGGTAAATTGTTTCTGCTTGTCCACTCACTAAAACTAATTCGAATCCTTAATCTTTAAATGTATATGCTAGAGAAAGGGGTCGTTAAATCTATAGACGGGAGAGTCCTTTCGTTAGACGCATGGAAAAGGGTGCTAAGTATAAATACCATATCTAGTTGTATTCGTTCAAAATTGTGGTTGCAAAATGAATTGCACAATGCAGCAGCAACTCTCCTTCCTTCCACGATGTTCCCTGATTAACGCTAAATCTGCTACATTTCTGCTGTTCTAGTATCGAATCCCATATAGAATGTTTAGAATTGGAACACAATAACAAATTTAAGCGGTTTATTAAATGCTGATATTGTTGTGCCCCTAGTCATCAGTGTCCTAGCGCGGTACGGACACCCCATAATAATCTTGGAATGAATAATAACGAAGAAGACTTGGCTCCGAGTTACTAAAGAAGGAGAGAAGTTTCTTCGGAGAAGTTTTTAGGAAAAATATCCCGTATTTAAGTTCGTATGGGAGAAAAGCCGGAAAACTTCCACCAGGTAGTCAATTAACAAGTCAAGATGCTGAATGCCATCGAGTCTGCTCGTTTTTGAAACAGTGTCTACAACAAAGTCGCCAACGGATTCAACCTCAGCCCTAATGCTCACCAGCGTTGCCACTGAGATACGAGTCGGGCAGGAATTCCTTGATGTTCTTTAAAGTTCTTCACGCTGGCGTCCAAAATATTCCATACAACCAGTAGTAATGACCGGAAAAAGAAACGACATAAAATATATCTCAAAAACTGCAACCCATAATTTTCTCACCACGTACTCCAATTAAGGTTCCTTTAACCCTCCTAAATCGACAATCTAATTGCGAAGCTGTTCAGAGACGACAGATTTAAGAAATTGCTCTACGTTTTTCGTCCTACCAAGAAATTCATTTTTTTCTCCCTTCAACTCCAGAAAATACCTTCGGCACCGCCGGGTACCTTTTATCTGTCAATAAATCAAAGGTAGATTTCAATTCCAGATCAAATAAAGAAGTGGAACCCATTTTCTTCAAATCGGTTGAATAATTGAAGGTTCCTTCTAGTACTTGCCGCATTAAATAAGAACGGCCATATTTATTTTTGGTTTGCGAATTTCTTTTTCCCCACATTTGTTTCTGAATTAAAGATGGGAATGGAATTTTTTGTTTGAGTTTAGAATCGATTCCTGTAAAATGTAGGTTTATTCTATGAATTCCGCTTTAAAATGTCCCAAACGTATTTTTCATACCATGACTTGCTTGAATAAGGTTATATAGACAAGTTAAAATGAAATAATAAATATTTGATATGTAAAAATTTTTAAAAGAAATATTGCTATAGTTGTTATTTCCATTTCATTGTTTATAAGATGAATATATTATTACTACTTATGGAAAAGATTTATTTTCGTTTAAAAATTTAGGTACATAAAAGTGCACTTTTAATAATAATTTTATAAATTCATCTTTAACTCTTCCTAAACCACAGTGTTTCCATTTACTTACTCTAATATTAGCCTTTCAGTAGAAAGTAGTGTAATAGCTATGCTTCCACGTACACATTGGCAAGAGCGCCCCCTGTGGAGTTCAGGAGAAATGGCCAGTTGGCCTACAGACTCAAGACTCCAAGAGGAAGTACAACGCAACAAACGTTTCTTCCGCTGAGAAACGTTTAGTTTATAGTCTCCCTTAACGAGAAGAAATATATTTATCTTATCCCGGCATATTAGTTGGCCTACAGACTCTCATCCGGAGAGGAAGTATATTTCGCGCACACCGAGTATCGGGTTTTCGGCTTAGAAGTGGAGTTCTTTCTATGAATCTATAATTATCTGTTTCAAAATGTGTTAAATATTGTATGTTAACTCCATATATGGTGTTTGTGCGTGTGTCAATAAAGCTGTGAGTTCTCCAACTTGTGCCTAAAATATGTCAACCCAACCACACCCAATTACAATCTGGTTTCCCAGTGTGCACACTACAATCTGGCGCCCCAGAAGGGACGGTACCCATGCCACTGCAGTGTCAAGTCGAAGTTCTCCTTTTTATTATCTGTTTTTGCCCACCTGAAGTGTCAGTGGTGTGGGTTTCTGTCTCACTCCGTTGCATCAGATTTCTCTGAACTTCTATAACGCTAAAAAAAAAAACGCTTATATACAAAAAAGCAGTTGAACACTGTTAGTTAAGTTGGAGATAAAAATTTTAGCAATTTCGATATCCATAAGAGGAATAAAAATTCTCACGATATTTACTTTCTCTGCTAGACCGCCCATACAATATCGTGGCATTAATGGTGCTAAATGGTTTTCGGAAGGGGGTGCGAATTTTTATGAATGACCATTTCCCTATGTAGTCACAAGAACGAACTACATGGGAAACTAACGACGGAATATGATATATTTTTAAAAAATGTGAAAACTGAAAATATTTTTTACAAAATATTTCTTTTTACCATAACATAAAAACATTCATAAAAATATTTACTGTTAAGTTTTTAAAAAATCTGAAAAACAATCGTGATATTTTATCACTGATCTTTAATCATTGTATTATATCATCATACACACATAATACGCTGTACTCCACTAAATTTGTACCGTGTCTCGATTCAAGCGAATTAAACGAGAGCTATTGTATTAGTAATACTATTTCATATATTTATTTTTTTTATTTAACTGGTTAATATTTATTTTTTTTTCACTAATTTAATTATGATTTAGTATCATGTTTTTATTTTTGCTAATCTTTAATTATTAGATCTACTTCAAATTCAATTAAAATCTTTTTATCTATAAAATTATGGGTATTGTTTTCGGGAGCGTGGTTTTCCATTTTTCCTGATAACTTTTTCGTGTCCTTGATCGGTTTTTCGTTTCTTTAACCACTTTCAATGTTTCTGATTGGTTTATTTTTATTAATTTCTTTCCCAATCTATTGTTATTTGTTTATTTAAATTTCTTTCAAAAACTTTTGTTATACATAATATTTATTTAAATTCTTTTCATGAACTAATAATGATATAATTAAAAAATATATAATTGTAATAAAAGATCGTCCGGTGAAAACAAAGATATTTTTATTCCAAAATGAAAACGAGATTTTTCCAAGAAAAAAATCGTTTGGTATTCTATAGTTTTTAATTTTTTAATATTGCTGTTATGTGTTTTCTCTTGCATTAAATTCTAAATTTTATCGGTAACTTGTATAGAGGTGATTATTTACTTAGGAACTTTTAAGAATTCTAGATTAGGCAACTAAGAATAAAACAACAAATTAAATTTATTAAAATTAAACAATTCTTCTATTCTCGTTTTTTATACTTTTTCCTACAAAAAAAATAATAAAAACGAATTTATATTTTAATCAAATTTATATACATTGAATATTTTATAAAAGCAAAAATTCAATGTTTATAATAAAAGATAATGATTATTTTTAATTTTTTTTATTATTTATTTTTTAGTTTTATTTTAATTAATTTAATTATGAATCATTAATTTTATATTACTAATTTTCTACAATTAAAATCTTTTTACCTATAAAATTATGGGTATTGTTTTGGGGTGAGAAATTTTTCATTTCCTTGGTAAGTTTTTTCGTGTTTTTGATCAGTTTTACTTTCCTTGATCACTTTTAATATTTCTAGTCGGTTTTTGCCCAAGCTATTCTTATTGGTTTATTTAAATTTATTTCACGGGCTTTTTTAAACATAATAATTATTTAAATTTCTTTTACATGCTAACAATTATATAATTAAATAAGATAAAATTGTTCAAAAGGATCGTCTGGTGAAATATAGCAAAGACGATTTTCTTTCAAACTGAAAACGAGATTTTTCAAGAAAACAAAATCGTTTGGAATTCTATAGTTTTTTTTTTTTTAATTTTTAATTCTATTTATTTATTTATTTTTTTTTATTTATTTAATTTTTTTTTAAGATTTCTGTTACGCGTTCTGTTATGCATTCTAAATTATATGGATAACCTGTAAATCCACCCAGCCGATTATTTACTTTTTTTCAGTATGCAACTTTTCTATTTTTATTTTTACAATTTTTTTCCTACAAGAAAAACAATAAAAATGAATTTATATATATTTAATCTAATTTATGTATACTGAATATTTTATAAAGCAAATAATTTAATTTTTATAATAAAAGATAGCGATAATTTTTATTTTTATTTGCTTTTTAGTCTTATTTTAATTAATTTAATTTACTATTTTTAAATTAATAGACCTATTTCCAATTCAATTCATATCAGGAATCATCTATTTTCCATATAGGAAAAAAAAATTTCTGAAAATTTCTAAAGCGATTTCAATACTGTTGAAAAGTTAATAATTGTTAGTAGAACAGCGAAATCGTTGAAAAGTTAATAATCGTTAGTAGAACAGCGAAAGCTTTGAAAAAGTTAATAATTGTTAGTGTTGTTGTTGTTTCTTATCCCACTTGGCTGGCCAAGCCAAGAGCCCGTTGATGAATAATTGATTGAAGGAAGGAAGCAGCTTCTGTTGTGATGGAGCACCCGTAGATAGAAGTCTGGCTCCGTGGGACGCTCTTAAGTCTTCTGCAGAAGACCGGGACCCACGGCTTAAAGTGGGTGCATTTCGAACCACTACAAACATCCATGGCACCGCCGGGATTCGAACCCGAAACCTGTGGCACCGAGCCCGATCAGAGCGCCAGACACTCGGCCATTCAGGTCCCAAATTTGCCAACGGCACGCGGTGTTCCCAGGTGGTCACCCACCCAAGTACCAGACCGCGCCCAATGATGCTTGACTTCGGTGATTCTCACTTATTAGAAAAATGGGGCTTAAATCAGGCTCTTTCCAGCTCTGGTGCACCTATCCCACCCACCCTCGAATGACGGTTGACTTCGGTGATCTAACGAGAACCTTGTATATGCAGCATTTCTGGTATGGCTGTTGGCGTATAATTGTTTTAGTAGAACAGCGAAGTGCAGCGTTTAAAAGTTAATAATTGTTACTAGAACAGCAAAGAATGTTGCATTGAAAAAAGTGAATAATTGTTAGTAGAACAGCGAAGGCGTTGAAAAGTGAATAATTGTTAGTAGAACAGCGAAGGCGTTGAAAAAAGTGAATAATTGTTAGTAGAACAGTTCGAAAGCGTTGAAAAATTAATAATTTGATATCACTTATATCACCATTACTTGCTACAAAGTGGTTATTAACGACTGAAATCAGTTCTAATAATAAGGATCAACATTTGTACAAGAAAATCTGAAAAAACTCTCTTCATGGAGATTACAAAAATGATGAATTCCAAATGGATCCAAGAAATAGTTTATAAAAAATATAAAGGTTAAACCTTGGAATTGGATGACCATAATTCTATAATAAAGGTCAAAGGATCTCTGGCTGCAGCCTTGGCCATCAAATAATGCCCCATTAAGAAGAATATTGCTCGAAGTTTTCGTTGATTTATGGATAGAACTTTGGTTATTTAACGTTTGTAACATTTTCTTATTATTTATCTCTAGATATTTTAACAACATTTTTAAAAAGCAAGTCTTATTTTTTTTTTTTTTACTTTTACAGTTATTAACTGAACAAAGAAAAAGAAGTTAAATCAAAATAATTGATCAGTAGTAGACTTTCATTCAATTTTTCAATTGGAAAATGGACATTTGTTTTTGCACTATCATCCTGTGCATGAACTTATTTAGCTTTATTTTTTGAACAATAATAAAAATTAAAAAAGTAAGTCTACTTGAATATAACTTGATTCGAATTGTTGTTAAATGTTAAATGTTTATGTTAAATGTAAGGATTGTTACAATTATTGCATTGTTAGTAAATGTTGATTCTAAAATATGTTTTCGTGCAGTTTACTTATTATTGTCTGGGTTATAATTAATGTAATAATTTTTATATGTAATAATTTATAATAATATGTAATAATTTTTATTGTAAATACATATATAATAGTATATTTTTACGTCATTTTTATTCGCAATATTCGCATCTGTCATATAAAACGGATTTTCAGTATACAGATGTCTCGAATCATAATCACGCGCGTGACTCGTCGCCCAGTACTGACATACGCAGCTAGAATGCCGGAGGACCTAAATTCGAATTCGTCGGTTGCTTCCGTTGCGGTCACTGTTTTCATAAAAAGAGTAGACTCGATAGTTATTCAAATAGATTTTTTTTTTTCCTAGCCTGTCTAGATTTGCTTCCTAGTTTCTAGATTTTCACCCATATGACCCACAGATTCTGGTTCTTACCCCTAAAAGTCAGTAATTCCGACTCACAGCAGTTGGTAGCTCGCATTGACTAACTAGCTTACGGAAGATTATGATTCTAACCCGCTAGTGATGTGTGTTATAATTCATTATTTTCAAGAACGAACTTCGACGGAACTGGGTAGCAATTGTAGCAGTATTTTGTATGTCTGAAAGGCAATGTTCTCTTTTCATTCTGAGTTGGTGGGCTGTTCTAAAGATAAGAACTCCAAACTGTTTTGGATCATGTTCTCCTAAGACAAAAATAATTAAAAGTTGTGCCCCATATAGTATAATATTATGCATGTGTGTGGTAGAGTGCGTCTTCCAAAGTGTGTCCTTCCAAAGACAGTTTTTGTTCTCAATAAGTTTAAAACCGATGCATTTATGATGTTGAGATTCCCAGACACTACTCAAAATTCATCACATACACACGTGATACATTTGCAAGTTATCCTAATCCTACGTCTTTGACGTACCCTACTTTGACAAAAAAATGGTAACTTGCAGTGATTAACTTTCCTCAAAAGCAGTATTTTGCTCTAGACAAGTTTTCGTGCGCATGCACTTTAAACCGATACATTAATGATTCGGAACCTATATCTTTGGCTTAGGATAGCAAAGTAGGGTTACTTTGGAGATCTTTGTTCTATAGTATACATAAATAAGAGTGGAAAAAAATGCACAGCAAAAAAATGGTAACTTGTAAAGATTAACTTCCTTCCAAAGGTGGTGTTTTGCTCTCCACAAGTTTTCGTGCACATGCGCTTTAAAGTAGATGCATTTATGATATTGAGCTCCCAGTCGTTACTGGAAATTCAATAAAAAAATAAGGATGATTGCAATAAAAAAATAAGGATTTTTATTTAATTTTTTAAAAAAATTTTAAATCTTGCTCATATTTGGCTATGAATTTTAATTAAATGATGAATTCATGGAAAAAAACAGAATTTATAAATATTATGATGTATATATCATTATATGATTATCTGCCATATATCACATCTTTAAATGCACATTTCAAAATGATGGTATAATATGGCAAGCAACGCTATAATTTTTTTTATTGTGTGCAACAACACACAAAAAGGCATATAAAAAAATCTAACAATCGTTTCCATTACACACCTAACATATTTAACGAATCGCACCATTTAAAAAAAAAAGATCGCCATTGCTTAATTAAATACCCTTTAAAAAACTCTCATGTGATGTTATTTGACTTTTCACCTAGCAATAATACTATTATCATGGAAAATAAATTAAAATTTCATATTGTACATTTTTTACCTTATTTTTTTTTATAATAACTTAATTAACGGTTTTAGTTCATTTTTATGCCTGGCGCCACCTGGTGGAAAATTTGATTGCAATAAAAAATAAGTATTTTGTATTTAATTAAAAAAATTTTATATTTTGCATAATATTAGGCTATGAATTTTAAAAAATTTTTTAAATGATGAAATTTTTAGAATTAATGATGATGATGTTGATTTTTAGAAATAGATGATGAAAAATTTTTAGAATTAATGATGATTTTTAGATTAAATGAAAAAAAAACAGAATTTATGAATGTTATAATGGATCTAGCACTATATGATTATCTGCCGTATGTCACACCTGTGAATGTGCATTGCTAATTATGATGGTATAATGTGGCAATCCAAGCTATAATTTTTCTTTTATTAAGACATATAAAAAAAATCTAACAATCGTTTCCATTACACACAAAGCATATTTAACGAATCACTACCATTTAAAAAAAACCATCGCCATTGCATTAAAATACATCGCCATTACTGTTAGCATGGAAAATAAATTAAAATTTTATACTGTATTTTTACAATAACTTAATTTAATGGTTTGAGTTAATTTTTATGACTGGCGCCATCTGGTGATTTAAAGTTTGATTGCAATAAAAAAATAAGTATTTTTTATTGAATAAAAAAAATTTTATATTTTGCATAATATTTGGCTATGAATTTTTGGAATGAAATGATGAATTCAGGGAAACAAGTACTGTAAAAAAAAATTTTTAAGTCAATTCCTACTTTTTTTTTCACTCTATTGCAGAAAATCCTTTATAAATAATTTTCATTTAATTTTCATGTATATCTGGCGCCATCTATTGGTAGATACAGGCAACTTAAATCTAAAAAAACTAAAATTAATGAATTAAATTTAATTGCTGAATTAATATTCGAAAAAACTGCATTAACATCCAGTGTCATCCACTACAAGTTCAAAAAAAAATTGTATTTGAACTTGAGTGGATGAATAAAAAGTATTTTACGACCGATTGGAAATTTGAACAAGATATATATAGGGAGAGAGTGAGCTAATAAAAGGAATTGAAATAAGTATTTTTAATTAATTAAAAAAATTTAAAATGTTACATAATATTTGGCTATGAATTTCTGGAATGTAATGATGCATTCAGGCAAAAAAAAAATTATGATGGATCTATCACTATATGATTATCTGCCATATATCACTTGTGAATGTGTATTTCAAATTGCGATGCCATTCATTATATGGCAAGCATCGTTAAAGGGGTTTTATTTTACCGTGTGCAATAATACTTAAAACACATATAAAAAAAATCTAACAATCGTTTCCATTACACACAAAACATATTTAACGAATCGCTTCCATAAAAAAAAAAAAAAAAAAAAAAAGCATCTCTTTTGCCTAATTGAAATACCCTTTAAAAAAACTCTTATGTGAAGTTAATTGTCTTTTCACAAAGCAAATAATACTGTTAGCATGGAAAATAAATTAAAATTTCATACTGTAAATTTTTACCTTATTAATTCATTTTTTTTTTTTTTTGCAATAGCTTAATTAAAGTTTAAGTTAATTTTTAGGACTGATGCCATCTGGTGGTAGAAAAAAAATATGTATAAAAAAATGATTGCAATAAAAAAATAAAAAAAATAGAGATTCTTTATTTAATTAAAAAATTTTATTTGGATATAATATTTGGCTACGAATTTTTGGAACAAAATTATGATTTCATGAAAAAAACAAAACATAATTTATAAATATTATGATGGATATATCCCTATATGATTATCTACCATATATCACATCTATGAATGCACATTTCAAAATGATGCTATAATATGGCTATAGTTTTTTATATTTTTTTACCGTGTGCAACAACACGCTAAAACATAAAAAAAAAAATCTAACAAACGTTACCATTACACACAAAAGTATATTTAACGAATCGCTTCCATAACAAAAAAAAAGCATCACCGCTGCATAATTAAATAACCCTTTAAAAAAACCCCCTTCATGTGATGCTATTTGACTTTTCACCAGCAGAAAACCTGAATGAAGAAGTGAATTCTCTCCCCATCTCTTCAATGCACCGCATCCGCACCGTGCCCGCTCTATTAATAGCCCTGTCCAATGCTACCGCCGCGACGCTCTGGGCTTGCGCAGGGCGTGACGCAACCGCCGACGTCATAATCGATGGACCAGCTGACGTGGTGACGTCATCCCGTTGAGTGGATGGAATGGAAGTGCAAGCTTTT